TGAACGTTACGTTTTCAGATATTTGACACTCGTACTTGAGTATTGTGAGGATTTTGACATTCCATCTCAAGTAAGTTCAACAATTGGAATATTATAATTTATTTTGGTCGTTAGCCTTGTGTCAGACTGAACGAAGCTGTAGATTGTAGCCGTTTGCAGCCAATTATAAAGTAGAAAAGAAAAGTTGATAGCATTCTAAAAAATACTGCTCTTTTTACAAGTAAAATTGTTTATTTGCTAACTAGACATCTCGAATTCGTCGCGTGATGCTACGTTTTCTAAAGTTTTTATTTTGCTAGTTCGCGCTTTTGCACTGTTCTAGTATTTTACTGAAAATATATCTTAATATGAATTTCAGTCTTGGTAGAATATTTAAATGTTAAATTTACCACTTTGAAATTGCTACAGGAATACTAAAGGAAAAGAAACTAACTTGAAATTCCCTATGTTGTACAACAAAAAAACAATTTCTCTGAAATTAATTCTCTAATTAAGAAGAAGAATAATCTAGATTTCATTTACTAAGTAGAAGAAGTTCAGTCTAAAATACACGCGGAGAAGTCAAATCTAGAAACTAAGTATTTTTAGAGTAAAGAAAACAATATTTCAATTATTTTTTCATACAGATACTTCAAAGTCGTAAATTTGTTATAATGAAACTAGCGTTAAACCCCTTGCAGTTGCTTAAATCCGCGCCAGTTTGCTCATTAGTGAAGTAATATTTTTAAATTACACGTATTATATGTACCTATACTAGTGTCTTTTTACTGTTATATTATTAAATCTTGTGGTTTTGAGTTTCTTTCGCCAGTTCTTCTCAGGTCTGAGGCTTCTTCTTTCCGAACTGGCAGTAGACTCATGACGTTCAGTAAAAAATTGTAATAATTTAATACTGAATAAAATATTTTTAATTTGAACTGCTTTATTTATCCGAAATTAAAGTGCTGTATGACACTTTACGACCACGAGATAGTAAGATTAAAGGTCAATTAACATATTTTTTATACATAATAAACTAATTAATTTGTAAGGATTATTGTTAGCTGAAACCTGAAACAGTAATGCTTTAGTTACTTCATGTAGAAGCTATGTCGAGCCGATATAGGTCACAGCGGCCAACCACACTGAGACTAGCCAACTGCGTTGGATATATTATAATGCAGTACGGGTGCACAGACAAAAATGCATTTCCTATGAAAGTTCCTTTACTATGAAAGCCCGTCGGCAACTACTCAACACTCGTGGAAAAGATCAGGTGTAGAACTTTACGACCGTGTGTGTAACTTGGCCAAAACAAAACTTGGCCACTATGAAGGCATCAAAAAGACATATATATTAAATTATAATTTCCATAAACTTATAATTGCGCATCGTAACTCATCTGGTCATGAGGGAGATGGTTTGCCGAAGTTGTCATGTTAGCCGCCGACGACCTGGCCTCAGACATTGACGTTATAGCTATACCTTGGGCATTGTTTTATTATTATTAGAACAATATTGTTTCACACTGTGCATTTGTGAGTTAACTACAGTATATAGAAAGATCAGTACGATACAAATTTCGTCGAAGCCAATTTTACTAAAGTAAAAATAGTAGCAGGAATCTGTTCTCTCAATGACGAAGTGTCTGTTTGTCCGATAATCGCATTTAAAAAAATAATCATTTGTCTATCTATCACGTAAGTTTTTAAGCTTTTGGGACATCAAGATTTTTAAATTATGGACCGTTAAAATATTAACTTCACATATGTGTACATGTGTACTCGTATATATATATATATATATATATATATATATATATATATATATATATATATATATAATATGTATGATCGAATGCGCTTAAATATGTACATACATAAAGCCAATTCTACCAGGTAAGTTCAGTACGTTACTAGACTTACCCGGTAGAATTGTTTTGTTTTATTATAACGGACAGACACTCACTCTTTATAAAATATATAGTTATAATAGTTAAGATTTCATATTTTTCCACATAAAAAAGATTGGGGTTGTTTTTTACGACCCACTACAAAAAAGGGCAATATGCTCAATTTGGATATACTCGTAAGTACTTATGTACATACGTAAGTTTTTCGACATTTCAATAACTAATAAAAAATATTATTTATACTAATTTCAAAGCCCGTATCTTTTTAGTTAAACTAATTCATTTCATTTTAACTTTAATACCGTTGAGACCGTTGAGAGCCATCGTTACAATGATAAGTAATAAGTAAAGTCCTTTATTAGATTGTTCACAACAATACAATCTTAAAGCCAATGTCTCTGGATGAGCATCGTCAGTAAGCTCTAGAGGTTGCCGGATATTGGATGCTGTAAAGCTTGACGACAGTTTGCAAAACAATAAGTATCTCAGATCGCATATGTTATTATCTTATTCAGTGTGTTTTGAACTGCTTGTATTATTGTTCTAGCGCTCACTGAGAACTAATGTGAGCTTTAGTTTTGCTTATTTTGATCGTAGCTTTAAGCTTTAGGGGCTAACGAGGAGCATTATAAGCTTAACGCGTCTGCCGCTGTGGTCTCGTAGCTATATCGAAGGACCGGAATTAATAATAAAAAACAAAATATTGCTACATTTGATTTGGTTGATATGGTAATCTTGGCACGCACAACGGACCAAAAGAGAGTCTAAGTGCGGAAAACGAGTCCACCTTTACATATGGTAATCTTGACTGGTATAAAAAATATTTGGAAATTAGTTAGTATAAAAAAGCCACGTTTAACCTCAAGCAATTGATTGTGCCCTTGAAATTATTGAAAAAAATTACTGGCTTTAGATAATTTTATATACCCAAATCTGAATTAGATGTGCTGATCATCGAACCTTGGGTCTTTTCAGCGATAAACAATAGCATTCCCAAGGAGGGTTGATGTCAGGCAGGCGGCCGGTCGTAAAACTTTTGCCAAATCCTATCAGCAGTACGGAAGATGTACTGCGTCGATCCCAAGTGATTGGGAAATGTGCATGGAGATGATGGTAATCTTGACTGCGGTGCACAATATTAGGTTCAGGATAGGCTTTGGAATACAATCTACTCAGCTAGAAGTTGGCGAGGGCGATATTGTTCCGATATATTAGTATATATTTCTAATTTTTGTATTTAAACCTAGCGATTTACTCTGCTACGCTCTTACTGCCTAGGTGCCTAATTATAGCTTATGTGTTAATTTAGATCATGGTGTATTTGTGTACTAAATTTTATCCAAATCACTCCAGCATTTTCTGCGCGAAGAAGTAACAATCATATACACATACAAACTTTCGCATCTATAGTTTAGTTTGTAGTAATTAGTAGTACGATTATTAGTTTTTTAATAATTAATAACTGTTGACTCTCATATTTAGGCATAAATACGTCTAAATATGGCAGTGGTATCCCAGTGGAAGCGCGCTCGCTTGGGAAACCGAGTGAAGCGGGTTCAAATCCCGGGTCTCGCACCTCTGATATTTTCATGTGCAAATCATTTCTAACACCTAATCACTTCATACATAACTAACTAGAGTATATGAATACAGAAAAAGTAGATAATAAAGTACTGCAAAAAAAAAGCATAAAAAGTAATAAAACAAAAATTTAAAACGCAGTATAGTAGTAGTAAGTAAATATAATATAGTACGAAACTAAGTAAAAATAAATATTGTAAGCAATATATATGTTTTACTAATAGATATAAGTAAAAATAGCTCTAAGTCGAAAAGTTGTTAAATAAATACCACACACATTGTCACACGGAACAGTTTAATAAATCAACAAAATCGTAAAAATCTTAATTAATAGCAAATGTAAAAATAAAAATATGTACAAGAATCAGAAATATTTTGTGAATTTAATATTCGTAGCTAAGATAGTACTCTTCTTCAGCTAAGAATTAGTAAGAAAAATTTTAAAACAATAAATGTAAAAAATACAAACCCTTAAGGTTCAAATGGAACAATGTAAACAAATAAAATTGTAAAAAAGGACTCCGACCCCAATGTCGGAGGAAATCCGGCTTAAAAAAAAAAAAAACACCTACCACTTGCCTTATGGTGAAGGAAAACATAGTTTTCGAAAGACATGTGAAGTCCGCCAACCCGCACTTTTGGCCAGCGTAGTGGACTATAGCCTGATCCCCCTCGTATTGAAGGGAGGCCCACCCCCAGCAGTGGGACGTTAAAAAGGGGTTGAATGCACGTCTAAATAAATAACAGTATATTATTAATTGTGACGTTTTTACACTTTAAAACTTAGCACTAGTGGTTCTGGCGCGAAAGTAATAAATCCGCTAAGTGAAACGATTAATTCGCCGCGATGTTTCGTTCAGTGGCTGGCCTCGCGCCAGTGCCTGGAAGCGATCTGCGATACTGTGGTGCGAGTGTGTTTATATTATATTAGAATATTAGTGTTATATTACAATTGCCTTGTTGTTTGAGTGGCAGTATCAGCGCAGGCTGGAGGTCCGGGGTTCCATCAGATCAGACAAAAAAAGTTATTGGGTATTTCTGTCTGTCGCTTGTGTAGAGCGAATGTTTCAAACAAAAACTTAATGAACAAAAACTTGATAAAAACATTGTTGTAATAAAACATAATATGGCATATTTAAAAATTTCTGATTCAACTTCCTTGCCATATTAAATTTCAACTTTATGACATAAAATCCGAAGAGTCTGGTACAACGGTAATAATTTAATTAAAACATTTATTGTTATATAAATATTACACAGATTCACTAATTGTTTAATTTCTTTTTATTACTCAATTGCTCTTAACTTATTTGAACGAATCATTCGTAATAGCATTTGAGCTTTCATCGATACGATGCGTCGATTAAAAGATACATTGTTAATTAATATAATCTTTTACACGGTCGTTTCTATATAACTAAACTTTGTTGCTGTTTGCTGGAATATTATCAACGCGAATCAATATCTTTATAGCTATACGCTATTTATTTCAAGTGATATAATCGTTTTCGTATTACCAATATCCCTATAATGCTCTCTCCGAGGCACGGTTGACGGCCGGCGCGCGGCTGGCGTCGCGCCAAGTCGGGGAATACCGGCGTATATCATTGTACATTATGTTGTTGACAAGTTGGAGATAGGTCTCTCGCACAGGACACAGTATTAGTATAGAGTGGCGTCCTCCGTCCTCTCGTGCATACATCGTACGTGCATGATCGTGAACTTTAGGTACGTACATTGTATACTGGTAGTATTGAAATGTGTGAAAACTAAAATATTTTAAATCAGGTATATCGATATTTTAAATCCAATTCTATTTTTATTTACTATTTACATGAAGATATAAGTATTTTTGTTCAAAGTTCGCTACATAATATTTAATTATATCCAAAAAATATCTATATTCAAATAATCACTTAGAAATGATTGTCACGTGAAAGAAGAGCAAATCTCATCGACACATAAACATATACAATACACGTATATGCATAACTGCCTCCGTGGTGTAGTGGCTAGCATGTACGGCTGCACACCCGGAGGTCCTGGGTTCGAGTCCCGGGTCGGGCCAAGTTTAGTTATTGAGTCTTTCTGTATAAGTAAAGCCTCAGTAACAGCCCGGAGTTGGGAAGTTGGCGGTGTTTCACCCCCGTGCCTCGGAGAGCACGTAAAGCCGTCGGTCCTGCGCCTTAACTCTCACTGGTCGTGTCGAGCAGTCGTCCCACCGGAATATGAGAGTGACAGGAATAGAGAGTGCACTTGTGTCTGCGCGTACACTTGTGCACTATAATATCTCCTGCGCAGTTGGCTAGTCTCAATGAGATTGGCCGCCGTGGCCGGAATCGGTCGGGAGAACATCATGCATAATCGCTTATCAATGAAATTTAAAAAGTATTAAGGACTGAAATACAATAAATACATTGACTGATAAATTTCAATATTTACTTTATTGTTAACAAAATTATGAATAAATAGGGATGAAACTTTTTCCGAGCCTCAGTTGAACCGCTCTCCGAGAATACCTCCAAGGACGGCCTTACTTCCCGGGGGAGAAGCCAACTCCTACCGGGCGCGTCCCCAGGTGGTGGATAGGGGCATGCCACCCGCTTAGAGGGGCGGGTGGTACCGGAGAAATCCGGCGCGGACCAAATGGCTTGGATGGGGCCGCTCGTCTAGGCCTCGAGCCGAGAGGTAGGCCGCGGCGGGAGAGGAGTGCCGGTATTTCGGTGCGCCGTTCTCCCTACCTTCCGCGGCCTAGACGGGGCCGCCACCGTTTGATGACGGACGCGGTGGGGCTGCAGGGGAAGAGGAGTGGAGGGTGTTTCGTTGCCGCTCTCCCTGTCCTCTGCAGCCGATTGGAGATGGCCCACTTCGGTGGGTGGTGTTTTGGTTTTATGGGGCTGCTCCGGGTACCTCTCTGACGTAGCAGAGTTGACTGTGGAGCAGCCCCATTGGTGTGGTGGTCTGCCTAGTATTTAGGCAGACCTGCCGCCGGGGCGCCGTAGTAGTTATGCGCAAGCGATCCTGCGGCGTCCCACTAAGGCGGGGGGAAGGGATGTCGGGTTTTAGTGGGTAGTACCGGCTCTTCTAGCCGGTGAGCCCCACATCACCACCTGGGGGATCAGGTGGTATGCGTAAATGCATTTCCCGACGATAAAAAAAAAGGACGGCCTTACTTATAGAATTAATAGCTTTAAAAAGAGTTCTAAGGGTCCCGTTAAAATACAATTCCGTTATATGAGAGTTTCTTCCATATCGGGTTTGGTTAAACACAAAGAATACTGATTTTTTTTTAATGCAGTGTGTTGGAGATTGGAACGCTGGAGATAACGACGCCAGCGACTAAACATATCCTTAAGAACTTCAATTGCTTTTAAGACTTAACTGTTTCAGAGTTACCGCACTCGTTATTACTACTGCCGTGCAATTTTTAACTTAATTTTTAACGGCTTACAGCTTAAAATTGACTGCCTCATTCTTAAACGGTAGAGCTCCAAGAAACAATCTGCGGAGAACAAAATTCTATGAATAAGAAATATCCAAGAGTTGCGGCGGCGGTCTGTTTTTATTGGCAAATGCGTCTTGTAATTATTACTAACTTTGTGTTTCATTTCGGCTTTCATTCAAAAGTTTTTACATTTTTAATATGCTGTTACCATTTTTAAATAAAAAAATTGGTATTTTTGCCCGTTCGCTTATGTATTTAGTTGTTGTAAACTTCGCAATAATACACTAGTGTCTCACTGGGATGACAATTTTAAAAATTTCAGCAGACTCAGGCAAAGTTCGGTCCATAACATAAGATATTATATAAATCGGCGGTCGTGTGTTTGCTGAATTGTAAATAAATAAATAAAAAACATGCGAGCGTAAAGCCGCAGCCAGTCGGCGCTCAGTAAAGCATTTCGCCGTGATTGATATGCAACAGATAAAATATGTAAATATCGAAATATATTTGCGTAAAAATTTTGGTCAAAAAATTAAGGGAAAGCGGTGAAATTAAAATAATTTGGGCGCGAGCGGCTCATACATAAATGTATGAAGTTACGCGGTCGTTCGGCTGCAGCCGGCCGGCTCGCCGCCTGGCTCTGCCGCCTGCGGTACACGCCACCTATTATAAATATATTTACATTTTAATAGTACATGATATTATTTTTAATTATATATATATATATATATATATATATATATATATATATATATATATATATATATATCTTTATATATAATTCTTCTGTGAGTGTGTATGTCACTGAACTTCTCTCAAACGACTGGACCGATTTTGATGAAATTTTTTGTGTGTGTTCAAGGGGATCTGGGAATGGTTTAGATTCACAATTTGAATAATAATTTTCATCAAAATAATTATTAAAAAAAGTTTGAAATTTTCAAATTAAAGACGTGTAGACAGGACAACGTCTGTCGGGTCCGCTAGTATATATATATAACTGTTAATGATTGTATTAGTCTTAGGTACATTTTGGATCGGTTTGATCTACTTAGTTAATGTAATGAAACGCATCGATCTCAAATGTCAAAAAACTGTCACCAATTGTGTTTAGGTAATTATTTTAGTTGTAAATCAATTTTTAAAATTGTTTTCACAAAAAGAAAAGCACGCACAAAAGTTCAAATGAGCGCTCAATTTTTGACATTTTTGTCGCTAATTGTGTATCTAGTACTTTATTAATCGATGTTACACGACTGTTAGAAGGATCTATAATACGATATCTTTCTGTTCTTCTGTTTTTTATGCAGTATATACTTATAATTTAACAATTTTTATATTCTTACTATTCAAGGATTGGTCAAATGTAGGTAGACATTATATGAGTTTTTAATTATACATTATCTGGTCTGGCTTAGGCACATACAACTGTATAACATATTAATGAGTATAGGTAACCCAGGGTGCTCATACCCTCCCCCCCAACGTGCGTTCACCTTGTCGTGGTGGGGGGGCTCAGTAGCAGTAGCGAAGCTAAGAAACGCACAGGGAGGTTGCCCACTTCGGTGGGCGGTGGGAGGTGGCCCTCTTCGGAGGGCGGTGTACCATGCGGGTTGCTCCTGGTACTTCTCTGATAGCAGAGTGGACTGTGGAGCAACCCCATGGTTGTGGTGGTCTGCTTCAGCGGACCTGCCGTCTGGGCGTCGTAGTTGAATGCGTAAGCGATCCTGCGTCGCCCCATTAAGACGGGGGAAGGTTTTGTTGGGTTTTAGTGGGTAGTACTGGCTGTATTACGCCGGTGAGTCCCACACGTCGTGCGTAAATGCATTTCCCAACGTTAAAAAAAAAAAAAAAAAAAAAAAAAGGGTGCTCATACCCTAGGTTACAATTTTAGTTTATTTCGTAAGAAAAATCCAGTGGTGAATATGAATACGATGCTGTCTACGGGTATAAATTAATAGGCTTAGGGCAAAACGAACACGAGACGTTACTCGTTACTTTTTTGAATAGACTCGTACATAATTTAACACCTCCAGGTAAATTTCTAAGAAGTCTATTGTTAACTGTAACGCCGGCGTGTCCGCGGTCGTGGAGGGATTAAAAGTGATCAATAGAGCGTGTCTTTGTAGGTTAAATATGTTCGTATATAAATTTCAGTTTAATCTGCTCCCTCACGGCCCTTTTACAAAGTGAAATAAAAATGATTATTTCGCAGAGTTTTACATAAAGAGGGGAGAATTATACAATGATCACAGAAAGCGACGGCGCGGACGCTCTTAGCTAAATTGAAACTGAATTGCATGGGAGAGACAAGTTTGTTTGACTATTTTTACTTTGTTTCCCAACTAGCGTGTGCGCTCCCGCTAATGTAGAGGTAATGGTACACTCATGCCTATTACTTCACCAAACACAACTAACAAAAACTATACTAATTATGTAAATCGTAATAATAGAATTATCTCTCTCTATCTCTCTCTCTTTTCGTATTTCCACTAATACTGTTAACGTTCTCTCTCAGATAAGAGTTGACCTGGAAGATATTACTGATAGCTTTTCCTGACGGCTAAATTCTTTTAGATAATGTATCTAATCTATATATATAAAACAAAGTCAGGTTTGTTACAACACCTATAACTCGAGAACTGTAAGACCGATTTTCATTGTTTTTGATTTGTTGGATTTGTCTCCGCCTCGAATAACAGAATAACTATTAAAACCTCGGAAAATTTACGAGAAAAAAAATTGAAAAATAAAATCTATTCCATACTAAGCGTCAAAAGGTACTTAGGGACGAACCTGAGCGAAGTGAGGGTGAGTCGCTAGTACATATTTATAAATAAAAGCAAAATTCACTCACTGACTAAATACGAAATATCGAAAACTACTTGACCTATGAAGCTGAAATTTAGCAGGTTGATAATAATTTATAGGTTGAAGGTGTCAGCTAAGAACATATTTTGCGACAAGGTCGTATTAAAAGGGTCTAAAGGCTATACCGTAAGTATGTAAGAACATTCTGTTTTCGCTTCTAGAGGCAAAACTATTAGGTATCACTTAACACAACAAACACAAATATAAGTGTGTTTACATCTATGAAGATCATCAAAGTCTTCATTTAAAATACCAGCAAATAAACTATTTATTTGGTGAACTATAACTTCAACATAGCATTTCAATTTCAAACCCATTTAAACTACGATTGACTCTCGGAAATATCGAGGTTCAATACAAGAGTGCCGGCGCGGCGCCGCGTCGTCTAAAGATCGCAACTTGCACTGTTTTAAAAGCTTTCG